ATCACTTCCATGCTCAAGAGCAGTCCATCCCAACAAAGAGCAAGTCATGCAAAAATGCCGCAATACCTGCATGGATGAACAAGGAGCTCTTGGCAAAATTCAGACTTAAAAAGGGAGTGTAGAGGAGGTGGAAACAGGGACAGGTAACCTATGAGGAATGTGGAGGCACTCTCTGAGTATGCAGGGATGATGTAGGAAAGCCAAAGACTACTTGGAATTGAATCTGGTGTAGGACGTCAAAGGCAACAAGAAGGTTTTTCTTAAGTAGATAAGTAGCAAAAGAAAGACTAGGGAAAGTGTGGGCTAACTGATGAATGGGGCGGGGGAGCTGGTGGCACAGGACATGGAAGATGCTGAGGTGCTGAACATCTTCTTCACTTCAGTCTTTATGTCAGGAGTTGAGGCTGGACTGGCCACTAGTGAGGGGCAGACACTCTCTATTAGCCCCTCTCCCCTCCCAGAAGTGTAAGGGAGAGAGGACAAGGAAGAGAGACTTAGGGTTTGGAAAAGGAAACTGAAACAGCTTTAATGAAACAATAACAGTAAAAGAAAAGATAATAATAATAAAATAATGAAATATATACAAAACAATATTGAACCGAACTCCCCCCACCCTGATGACTCTGTCAGCACTGATGCTGCAGGGCTGGCACTGGGGCAGTCCCAGGCTGGACTGGACAACAGACAGGAATGGGATGCAGGAGCTGAACTCAGACACTGGATTCAGGGACACATGGATCAGGATCGACGACAGAAGAACAGACAGAGTCCTCCTCAGGTGTCGGTCATCGAAGAAGAGAGCTTGACCCTCGTGATCCCTCAGCTTTACACTGACCATGACGTCTGTGGGATGGAACACTCTGTTGGTCAGGTTTGGGTCACCTGTCCGGTTCGCTCCTCCCTGCAGGGGCGACCTTTTATGTGTTTGTGACCCTTTTGACTTCCAGTACTTCAACGTGGGGTACAAAGGTTTAGCAGTGACCTTGGTTGCGATAAGGAGCAAGTATAAGCAATAGCCTTTCTGCATACCATTCTTCGGTATTAACTATAAACATCAAGCATTATCACTGCTACAAGCAGTCACTGTCTGGAAAAACATGCTGTTGATTTCAGAAAGTGCATTTACTTAGAAGAGACTTAACTGAAAAGTAAAATCACTGAATAGAATTAGTTTTGTTTTAGCTCAAACTGGGACATTTTACTAGCAAGACTGGCCTTCAGGATTCTAAGGACTTGGAGACCAGGAGGAGGGTCTGAAGGAAGAATTACATGTCCTTGGTGGAAGAAGATCAGGTCAGGGAACACTTAAACTGGACATACACAAGTCCACGGGTCTTCCTGATGCACACATGAATGAAGAGGGAGCTGGCAGTGAGGCCACTCTTGATGATCTTTGAATTATTATGGTGATTAAGAGAGGTACCTGAGGACTGGAAGAAGGCAAACGGAAAAGGGACAAGAAGGAGGATCCAGGGAAGTACAGGCCGCTCAGCTTCACCTTGTTCCCTGGGGAGGTGAGAAAGCAGCTGATCCTGGGAGGCATTTCCAGGCACTTGAAGAACATGAAGGTGATCAGTACAGATCACCAAGTGGAGGTCATGCTTGACCAAGCTGATAACCTTCTTTCTTGAAAGGATTGCCTTGGTAAATGAGGAGAGAGCAGTGGTTGTTGTCTACCTTGACTTCAGTAAGGCTTTTAAAGTTGTCTTCTATAGGATCCTTGTAAGAGAATCTGATGAAGCATGGGCTGTATGAGCAGACAGTGAGGTGGCTTAAAAACTGGCTGAATGGTTGGGCCCAGAGGGTGGTGATCAGTGGTGTGAAATCTAGTTCGAGGCCAGCAACTAGTGGTGTACCCCAGAGGTCAATACTGGATGCAGTTGCGTTCAATAGCTTCATTAATGATCTGGATGATGGGGCAGAGTGTACCCTCAGTGAGTTTGCAGGTAACACAAAACTGGGAGGAGCAGCTGTTAAGACAAAGGGTCGTGCTGTCATCCAGAGTGACCTTGGCAGGCTGGAGAAATGGGCCAACAGGAATCTCATAAAGTTTAATAAGGGCAAAGTCCTTCCTATGGGGAGGAACAACCCCATGCACCAATATATGCTGGGAGCCACTCTGCTGGAAAGCAGCTTTGCAGGAAGGGCCCTGGGGGTCCTGGTGGATACCAAGCTGACCATGAGCCAGCAATAAGCCCTTGCTGCAAGGAAGAGCAATGGTGTTCTGACTGCATTAGGAGTGTTGACAACAGGGCAAGAGAAATGATCCTTCCCCTCTACTCAGTACTGGTGAGGCCATATCTGGAGAGCCATGTCCAGTTCTGGGCTCCTCCATACGAGAGAGACATGGGCATGCTGGAGAGAGTCCAGCAAAGGGCCACAAGGATGATGAAGGAGCTGGACCATCTCATGTATGAAGAAAAGCTGAGGAAGCTGGAACTGTTCAGCCTGGAGAAGAGAAGGCTTGGGGGGATCTTATCAATGTGTATCAACACCTAATGGGGAGAGCAAAGAAGATGGAGCCAGGCTCTTTCCAGTGATGCCCAGTGCCAGGACCACAGGCTATGAGCACAAGCCGGACCTTGGGAGGTTCCTTCTGAACATAAGGAAACACTTTTTCATTGTGAGGGTGACTAAGCACTGTCACGGGTTGCCCAAGGAGGTTGTGGAGTCTCCATCCTTGGAGGTGTTCAAAAGCTGTCTAGTCATGTTCCTGGGCAACTGGCTCTAGGTGGCCCTGCTTGAGCAGGGGGGTTGGACCAGGTGACTTCTGGAGGTCCTTTCTAACCTCAGCCATTCTGTGACTGCCCCTTGGGTGGCAGGCACTCATTAGATTGGCATAAGCCAGTCATGAAACTCCAGGAAGCAAGAACTACTGGTAATGATGGGGCCTGAGATCTGTTGGAAGGGGTGTGAAGTTTACTGTGTATCTTCCCTCTGGAGCAGGAGCTGAAATCTTTTATTTGGGATTAGCAAATAAATGATTGGTCAAGTAAGAAGGGAATCGGGGAAAAGCAAAGTGATTGGTGAAGATCATAGCAAAAATGGTGTTTGAACAGCTGTGGTACTGTCTTTGATGGGATGTAAGGCGAGAAGAGAGAGGCAGAGTTGGGAGGTTGCAAGATGGGCATTGCCAGTGACGGGTGGGCAGAAACCAGCCTTGCAGGGTGGAGGGGAGAGCAGAGGGCTTTAATGTTTCCATCATAAGAAAAGAGAGGGGACATGTGCTGTGTAGCCTTAGGGATTATACTGGTGACTTGAAAGTGGGAATGTGAAAACTTGGTATAGTCCGGTAAGTGATCATTTTAGCAACTGGGAGTTCAGATTTCGAGTCGAAATGCAAGAGGCAGAGTGGTTTGTTGGTGAGTGCACTGGATTGACCTTGGCTGATCACCAGGTGCCCACCCAGCCGCTCTATCACTCTCCCTTCTCAATAGGCCCAGGGGGAAAATACAACAAAAAGCTTGTGGGTCAGGATAAGGACAGAGAGATTGCTTACCGATTACCATCACGGGCAAAACAGACTTGGCTTGGGGAAATTAGGTTAATTTATTGCCAATTAATTGTAGCAGAATAGGATAGTGAGAAATAAAAAGAAAGCTATAAACACCTTCTGTCACCCCTCCCTTCTTCCTGGGCTCAAATTCACTCCTGACTCTTCTGCCTCCTGTCCCTGAGTGACGCAGGGGAATGGGGTTGTGGTCAGTTTGTTATGTTTCATCTCTGCTGCTCTTTCCTCCTCATGTTCTTGCCCTGCTCCAGTGTGGGGTCCCTCCCATGGGAGACAGGCCTCCATGAACTTCTCCAGTGTGGGTCCTTCCCACAGGCTGCAGTTCATCACGAGCTGCTCTGGTGCGGGTCCTTTCCATGGGGTGCGGGTCCTTTCCATGGGGTGCGGGTCCTTTCCATGGGGTGCAGGTCCTTTCCATGGGGTGCGGTCTTTCAGGAACAGACTGCTCCAGCGTGGGTCCCTCAGGGGGCCACAGGTCCTGCCAGGAGCCTGCCCTAGCGTGGGCTCTCCACTGGCTGCAGCTTCCTTCAGAGCACATTCACTGTGGTCCTCCATGGGTTAAAGGGGGACAAACTGTGTCACCATGGTATTCACGATGGTCTGCAGGGGAATCTCTGCTCTGGTGCCTGGAGCATCTCCTCCTTCTTCACCAGCCTTGGGGTGAAGGGCTGTTTCTCTCACATCTCACTCCAGTCTCCCAGCTGCTGCACAGCATTTTTTACCGTTTCTTAAATATGTTACCACAGAGGTGCCACCCTTGTTGCTGATGGGCTTAGCATTGGCCAGCAGCAGGTCCATCTTGGAGCTGGCTGGACCTGGCTCTGTCCAACATGGAGGCAGCTTCTTGTGCCTTCTTACCGAGGCCACCCCTGCAGACCCCCGCTACCAAAATCTTGCTGTGTAAACCCAATACAGTGGGTGAAAAGAAAAGATGTGGAAACTGAAATTCTTGAAATTACAGCTGAGATCATAAAGAGAAAAGAGCTACAGACTGAGAAAATTCAGAATTAAGCTTATGTGATGCATCATTGTCTAATTCCACTTTGTTTCCTAAAACTGTCAAGTTTCTAGGTCTACACTGACGCATTAACCAGGGATTTTTATATACAGACAAAAATGTATTTTATGTTCATTGAAATGCCTTAATTTCCAGGTAATAAGGTTTTAGTCAAATGCTTTATTTTATTGAGGCTTAAGCATCCCGTTGTCTCAGGATAATTTAGATGTGTGGGTGTAGGAGTTGGTCTCGTGAAGGTCTGAGGAGGACACTAGGTTTGGGAGTGTTGGGCAGTGAGTGTGGTGCAG